TTGCTTGTAAGCAGTTTAAAATTAATGATCTTTTTTTGTTGTTGTTGTTGTTTCTAAGTCAGTATGGTTGGTAAAATGTGTGATTTAGAAAGCAACCTTAAGCAGATTTTAGAGTGAAGGTAGATAAAGTTTATTACACTAAGCACATCACAGGCATGAATTTAAAGTGCTGTTGGTACAATTTCTAACAGTACCGCATATTTAAATGTCCTATTTAATTTTCCTGAAAGAGCAACAAGTTATGTCATAGATGGTTATCAAACATGTTTTGTCTTGCATGTAGCATTTCTGTTTCACGTGGCAGTCCCATGTATTGAAGATTAAGATGCTTTTTTCAACCAGAACCTCCTTTTCTTGTCTACCAGAAATACTTTTAATCTTATTGTGAATACTGTTTTCATGATTGTAACGCTAATTTAGGAAACTTTTGTTTAAAAATAGGGCTGTTTTGAAAACACTGGTATGAATAAGATAAAAACGTGGCTTGCTAAAAAAGTTTTCATTCTGGGGTTGATTTTAAATACTTCCAAAAAAAGACTGGGTTTCCATGACCTGCAAGCCCTTCTACTTCATTCAGTGAACATTATAGTGGCAGTTAACACAGCGATGCTGGCAGGACCAGTGCTTGAGTGCACCTTTCCCAGTACTCAACGCTTGGATGGTTCTTGACCATTCGTAGAGCTGCCCACGGTTCTTTAATTAGAAACAGATGTCCTAAATGAAAAGGTTGATTATACCAATGTTAATGGTTCAAATGCTACTCGCAAATTTCTGGCTGTATATTGAAGTTCAGTAGGATATTTTTTTGTATACATAAAGAAAGCAAATTTCTAAATTGTTGGTAGAAAAGTGCTTACACAATGTGATAAAACAGTATGTTATTTTAGTTTGAAATACATCAGTTCCTTATAATAACAATTTTTCTGGAAGGTATTCTAAGTAAAAGATCCATAAAGGATTTTAAGAGTGTGTATGTGTGTATTTGTGTATGTATATAGATGTATATGTATATCCTTCTGCACTTGCATTGAGTGTAGGAAAATTCTAAAACTGATGCAGCTGTACTTACGGATGATTTCTTTCAGGTCTACTGAACTTCTTAAGGTTTTTAAACTGCTTTTTTTTTTTTTTTTTTAATATTTTCCTGACCTGCAGGGAGGGAGCCTCTTGGGAAATCAACATAAAATTCTAAAAGACTTCTCTTGATTTGTATGCACAATATTGGATAAAAACTACCCCAGAAAATGCCTGCTAAATAACAGTTAACATAATAGGTTGAGTTTTATTTTAAGATTTTTCATCTTTTTAATAGTACTTCTTGTTTTTTGCTTTGTTGGGATTAAGATAACAACTCCATTCATTTAACTTTCTGTCATCTTAGAAAGCACAGCAGAAACATAATCAGCATCTGGACAAACCGGTTCCAGCTGTTGTATATTTTAATTTCTGGAGGTTATCTCTTTTCCCATTTCATCTCCTTCTGCCAGTACATACCTCATGAATTTAAAAGTACATCTTTGTTTTGCTATTAATGAGATCAACATTTCTACCCTCTTCTGAAACTTCAGTTCCGTTTACTGCCTTAAAAAGTTGTTCTGTGTTTCAGCACTTCTGTCTACTACAGGTCTCTCTGATTACCTTTATTTTCTCATTTACTGGCTTTCTTAAGTACTTTGTTCATGCACATCATTCCAATGAAATTGTTCATCTTTACGGCTTTAGTGTCCTCCTTCTGGTCAGAAACTGTTTCATATATAGCTATATATGTAGTGTTTTTTATATATATATATATATATGTATATATGCATATATAACAGTCTCGGTTTGTGTCAGGAGTATGTTTTTGAGGTGAATCTTAAACCCTGCTCACTGCATCACTGCAGATGCCAGATCTTCAGTGCTATCTCTGTCAACAGATTCATTTCTGCTGATATTGCAGCTGCATTTCTGCATATACATGCATATACAGATGCATTTCCACTGCCTTGACTTCTGTTACTTCCCTGGGCTTTGCTGCTCGTTCCTGCACTCCTTCAGTCTCATCTGTTTCCATATCTGAAATTTGGGTCACCCACAACCCGAACCCAGGCTCACTGATGTTCAGCCTCCAGCCTTGCTTGCATCCAAGTTTTTCATCTGGGTGCTCTCTTATGGTCTTAAGCTGTGATGGAAACTGATCCTGTCTCCACTTCAACTGTCACAGCTTCTTGTGTTGTGTTACTGCCAAGATAGTTTCCTGGTGAAGTCAGTATCTGTTTGTGGTCTTTCCTGTTCTATGTAGAGACTGAATGCCATTTTTTCCTTTTGAAGTGCTGGACACCGCTACACCAGATACTCTCGTAATACATAGCACTGCACAGAACATCCAGATATTCTCAGACTAATTTAACTTTTTTTAGTAAGCAACTTTTCACAGAGAACCTGATCTGACCATTTTATTAACTTCTGGCTCTGCAACTGTTCATGCATAGTATCTTGTGTGTGTAGTGTTACAGCTAAAGTATACTAGGATACCTCTTTGTTTCGGAAAATTCTGAGAAATTCAACTCAAAGAGCTTCCTTCTTCAGTGAACATACTATATATTGCTTCAGTTATATAGGAAGAACTGCATACTTTGCTTACTAGCTTGTTCACATTGAAAAATGCCATCTTCTTGCAGTGTCCTTTTTGTACATAATGAGCGATGGTAAACATTGGATTTTTGTGTCAGAATAAGGCTGGGGTTTTTTTGTGTTCTTATACGTAGCAAGTGTTAATAGAACTATGTTAAGGAAAGTATATACACACATGAGTGAATGTTAAAATGATGTTTCTAGCAACTTCACAGGTAATGCAATTTCAGAAGCTGGATCTGTGTATAAGAACTGACGTGTTTCAGTATACTGTTAACATTATTTAGACTTACCTTAATACAACACTTCATTTAATGTTGTAGAAAAAAAAACTTGCCTTTGCAGCTTCTGCGTTGAAGCTTGTTTTCTGTGAGAAACTGGTAAAAGCTCATCTGAGATACAGGAGAAATCCCCGGCCTTTCTGAGCTACATACACTTGAAGGATTAGCTGGTATTAGCTGCACTTCTGTATGCCTGTTGTACAAATAGTACTCTCTGTATATTACCCAGCCTTATAGTACTGAATCCCACGTTTTTTCCAGGTGACTCATTTCTGGCTACAAATTCTGTTCCTGTTGTTTAATTACTTTCTGTTAGCTAATGCAATTTCATGTGTCTGATTTGTAACTCTTTCTGGGCAGGGCTCTTCTTCTGATAAGCAAGCAGTGCCTGATTAATATGGATGCTAGCAATACGTGTTCACTGCACTGCAAGGTGCAAAGTATGACTGTATCAAAGCACATAACTTGAAATTTCTTGGAACATAACAGTTATATCTGATTCAGGCAATGAATATGCCTGCAGAATAGAAAGTGAACTCTGGTGTATGAGGAGCAGCCATTCAGTGATATTCTAGGGGCTTTTAAAGTCTCTCTTCTGTTCCTGTTGTATAAATCCAAAAGGCAATTACCCCTTCTCCGTGGAAGCACACTCACAGACAAACAAAACATGCAGTTTTCATTACCTAACTAAACTACTTAAGCAAGACAGTTTTTTTTTCTCTGGTTTTGCTAATTGCACAGGAAGAATGCTGAGAAAATAACACAGCAGCTGAATCAGAGGAAAAATGAAAGGAGTCACCTGTTGCCATCTATGTTTTAGTTGTCTGTTAGGATGTATTTCAAGCTGGGTTTGTGTTTTACTTTTTTTTGGCAACATCTGTTCCACCTCCCATTCTCACCTCACACCGACGCATGTATGTGTGTTTGTGGTGGGAGGATGTTGAAGGTACTTTAAGCCATTTGTTCAAACTGGCTTTGCAGCAGCATCAAAGAAATTTGAAAGGCAATGCTAACTTCTAAAAGAAAAAAAATGTTAAAAGCACCAGGAAGCTTAGATTTTTAGGGATGTTCAATTAGTACTCATTAGGATTCTTGCTTTCAACAAGCCTCCAAGGAAAAAGGTCATTAATATGAGATGTAAATAATTTTACTGAACAGCAATCTGTATTGAAAACTACCCAACTTCTTATACAGTGTTAAAGCTTAGATAATACTGTTTTAAAGAAAAAGTGTTAAGTTGAAAATACTGAATACTCACCTGTTAATGACAGCTTATTATTAACAGTTGTTATGTCCTGCCATGCTGGGTGTGGTATTTGATGGTATTGGAAGACATGACTTGCATAAAAGAAGAGTTTTACAGTATTCTGTAAGGATTAGTGTTAGAGGCTATCCAAGAGAGATCAGGCAAGACCATATGGATATTTGAGTTGGTCCTTTGTGGATTATTTTCCAAGTGTTTTTGACAGTAGAAGGTTTGATATGTAGTGCTTCAATATGTTACTTCATTCTGTTGTTAGGGTTTTGCTTCTGAAGGTACAGATTTCTTTTTTTCCTTTGTGGCGTCTGGATTTAGTTACAGGATACTCCCTCACTAGTGGAAATTGGAATAATGAAAATGTAGTGTTGTAGGAAAATCAAAGCATACATGAATTATTGTTTTAATCTGAGTGTACAGAGTCTTTTGTAGACCAGATGACTCATAGCTTTGCTGATACCTTTGATGGGTTTTTGTGTTCAGATTTATATCTTCAAAGTTTAATTAAAAAAAAAGTAAATGTATAGACTGGTCCAGCAGAGTTGTATGAGCAAAATGGAAGAATCCAGATAGAAGCTTTTTCACTCTAGCTTATAGTTAGACAGCTCCTGCATAAATCTGTAGGGGTTTTTTTTCAATGCATATTCCTCTAGGTTGATCAGTATTTATGCCATTTACATTAGGTTTATTGTTGTACATTTGCATACATGTGTTCTTGATGCCACTTTTTCCCAGCTCTTTTGAGTTTTTTGATAATTAATTATGTCTTCCTTTAATAAGTGACTTAAAGTTGCTAATACCAATCTTAAAATAATCTTTTTATTTCCTGTAATTTTCCACAAAAATAGATAATATACCTGAGAGAATCCCCAGAAGACATGTACAGGCTTATATTGTCTGGAAGCGTTTCATATCTTCCTTTCAGGTAAATAACAAGTTGTTAAAACTTTCTGTAGCTTGGTAGTTTGAATAAGAATGTAGCATTTGTCAGTACTAATTTAATGGGGTTTTTCTTCTGAAATTTTAACACATGGCATATTCGCTGCCTGAGCTTTTAGTGCAGGCTTCTGAACAGGGGTTTTAGCAGCTGGTACTGAAGTGTACTGACGGAAAGTAAAGGAGCCACGCTGCTTTGTACAGCCTCTTGTTGAGATTTTTGATCTTCATTGCTTCTCACTTGGCAGTCTGGTTTTGTGCCAGTAGTTGACAGTTAAATGTATCAATATATCTGTCATTCATCACAAGTGGCTTGTAATAACTCTTAGCACTCCATTTTTCCTACTTGTGGAATGTATACAGCAACCCACAAATACTGTTACGTGCATAAAGAATGCTAACCACCCTCATATGATTTAGTAGCTTTAAAGTATTTTTTTTGCTATTGAGGAAATGTGTAAAACCATTCGTTTGGGGTTGTTTGACCTTGGCGGGGTATAATTCTAGCTGTTTCAGACCACAGACTTCTCTCTGTGGTACATGCTGTGCTGCTCAGTGTAGCAAATAAAGTCCACAAGTTGTGCAGAGGAGCAGCTTCTTTTCTTCCCAACAAGAGTTTCTGAATGTCATGCTAATTTTCCATTGACTGACACAATATGCAGAAAAGAATGGCCAGAAAATTTTAGGAGGCAATTTTACTGTCTATATTGTTATGGGTTGATTAATTCAGTCCTTGCTTGTTTGTTTTCTAGTTCTCTTGCCAAGAGATGGGCTTTTGATGGTTTGAATTTCTGTTACTTCCCCCTGCCACCACCACAGTATAATGGTGTAGTAGCATCTCTCTTTATTTGCATACTTCCATCATCACATTTCTCACTTTTAAATTCCATTTTTATATTCCCAGAAGATCAAAGGTGATGCTTAGGAATACATTAAGTTTGTTTCTAAATATCATAAAGGTGTATGTGGGTGATGGAGATAGCTTTTCACTCAGGTCATATACCCTACCCAGATTTCTAGACTGTCACTTCAGCAACAATGCTGAAAGAAATGCAGAGATGTGTTATCTAATAAGACTGAGAGCTGACTTCTGAAGACATGTCCAGCCTCTGGGATAAATAATACAGTCTGCTGAAGCATCTGCAAACTGTACCATTTTCTTGAATTTACCAGTGCAACTAAACCTGGTGTAAATAGAGGAACTGAGATTCTGTTAATGATTTTGGGTCTGGGCTCTGCTCCTTTAAGATCTTCATCTCTGCGAAAACCAGTACCTTCCCACAGAACAATAAAAAGTCAGGTAGTTGACACTTAGGGTCATTATCAACAGGAAATCTTATGTTAGTAGGATGCAACAATTTTTTTTCACTTACAGAATCACAGTGAGGTTGGAAGGAACCTCTGGAGATCATCTGGTCCAACATCCCTGCCCAAGCAGGGCCATCTAGATGCAATTGTCTAGGACCACATGCAGATGATTCTTGAATGTCTCCAAGGATGGAGACTCCACAGACTCTCAGGGCAACCCATTCCAGTGCTCAGTCACACTTGAGTGAAAAAGGAATCCTGATGTTCAGAGAGAGCCTTCTGTGTTTCAGTTTGTGCCCGTTGTCTTTGGTCCACTGAAAAGAGCTTGACTCTTGTCTTCTTTGCACCTTCCCTTCAGGTATTTATATACACTGAAAAGGTCCCCCCCTGAGCCTTCTCCAGGCTGAATAGTTCCAGCTCTCTCAGCCTTTCCTTCTATATAACATAGATCAGTCCCCTCGTTATTTTGTGGCCCTTTGCTGGACCCTCTCCTGTATGCCCATGGCTCTTTTGCGCTGAATAGCCCAGAACTGGGCACAGTACTCCAGGTGTGATCTCAGTAGTACTGAAGAGAGGGGAGGGATCACTGGCCTTAACCTGCTGGCAGTGCTTTGCCTAATGCAGTCGAGGGTACTGTTAGCCTTGTCATAGGTGACAATGCTGACTCGTGGAAGTTGGTGTCCTCCATAACCATCAGGCCCTTTCTTCAAAGCTGTTTTCAGCTAGGCAGCCCCTAGCCTGTACTGGTGCCTGCGGTTGTTTCTTCCAGGTTCAGGACTTCATACTTCTTGTTGAACTTCACGAGGCTTCTATCAGCCCATTTGTCCAACCTGTCAAGGCTCCTCTGGATGGCAGTACAACCCTTTGGTGTACCAGCCACTTCTCCCAGTTTGATGTCATCGCCAGACTTGCTGAGGGAACTCTCTGCCCCTTCATTCAGATCATTAATGAAGCTGTTGAACAGGATCAAACACAGTATTAACCCCTGCTGTATACTGCTAGTTCCTGGCCTCAGATTAGAGTGTATCACTGTATGTCACTGACCACCACACTTTGGGCACAGCTATTCAGTTTTCAGTTCACCTGTGTGCTCAACCAGATCACATAACCACTAGCTTGTCTGTGAAGACTTTATGTAGACAGTGTCAAAGGCCTCACTGAAGTTCACATAGACAATATTCACTGCTTCTTCTTTCATCTACCAGACCAGTTATTTCATTGTAGAAGTTTATCAAATAGGTCAAGTGTGACTTTGCCTCAGTGAATCCATGCTGACTGCTCCTTGTGATTTTCTTGTCCTGTATGTATCTGGAAATGGTTTCTAGGAGTAGCAACTCAGATTCTGGGGATTGTGATGATGCCGACTGACCTCTAGTTCCCTGGGGATGCCATCGTGCTCTTCTTGAAATTGAGAGTGACATTCGTTTTCCTCCAGTCTTCAGACATTTTCTCCAGTTCCCATGATTGATCAGAGATTATTGAGAGTGACCTTGCAATGACATCAGCTATTGCTGATGCACTCATGGGTGCATCCCATCAGGACCCATGGACCTAGATATGTCCCGTTTATCAAACTATTGCCCAACTAGATCCTCTTCCACCAAAAGAACATCTTTGTTACTCGAGTCTTTCCCCCTTGTTTGTGAGATCTTGGATTCCTGAAGGCTGATCTTGCTTGTGAAGTCTGGGGCAAAGAAGGCATTCAGCACCTCAGCCTTTTCCGTGTCCTGTGTAACCAGGTCTCCCGCTTCATTGAGCAATGAGCCCACATCTTCCCTAGTCTTCCTTTTGTCACTTACGTATGTATAGAAGGTCTTCATATTTTCTTTGACATCCCTGGACAGAATAAATTTCATCCCTGGGTGTCGGACAGTGTCTCTGTATTCCTCCCAGGTTAACCTGTCCTTGGTTCCACCCTCTGTGTGCTTCCTTTTTGTGTTTGAGTTTGCCCATGAGGTGCTTGTTCATCCATGCAGGTATACTGACATATTTGCCTGTCTTATACTCATTGGAATGAGCTGCTCTTAAGCTTGATAGTGATTCTTGAATATTAACCAGCTTTCTTGGGCCCCTCTTCCCTCCAGGGTTTTATCCCATGAGACTTTTCCAAGCAGATCCCCACAGGTTAAAATCTGCTCTCCTAAAGTCCAGGATTGTCAGCTTGCTTTTTACCCTTCTACCTGCCTTCTGGATCCTGAACGCCATCATCTATCTCATAGCAAGGCTGCCTTTGACTTTCACATCCCCACAGAGCACCACATTGTTGGTGAGCGTGAGGTCCAGCAGAGCACTATTCCTCATTGGGTTCCGTATCACTTGGAGGAGGAAATTGTTCATTGTTCACTGCAGGAGCCTCCTGGGTTGCTTATGTTCTGCTGTATTGTCCCTCCAACAGATACTGGAGTGGCTGAAGTTCCCCATGAGGACTGGGGCTTGTGAATGTGAGACCGCTTCTATCTGTCTGTAGAGGGCCTCATGCACTTGTTCTTTCTGGTGGTTTGGCCTAACAGCCTTTACTTGTCCTCTCTTTTACGTGAATGGGTTCTGTTATTTCCTTCTCTTGGTGATTTCACCACCACCACCTCACACTGATTCATTAAGGAGGAAAATAAATTGTAGAGGCAGGCATACAGATTCTTCAGACATTTTTCCTCCTGTCAGTTGACATTTGAACACAATATATTAGAAACATTAGTGATTCTCTGCTGACGAGGGTTGCCTGGTCTCAAAAGATGTTCTGCCAAGATGTAATATTCTTTGATGTAGATTGAGTTTAAATATATTTTGACTTGACTGTAGCATTCCTGTGGAATGCTAACTCTTCAGTGCTTATGGAATCTAATAAGGGTCACATATTAAGAACATGTCATTGTAGGATCAACAGAATTAAAAAATTGTAGGTGAGAAGAGAGTTTAATGAAAGACAGCTTCTCTTCATGTTTGAGCATTAACTATTTTATGCATGTTAAGGAAAGTCTTTTAGTACATCTTACTAAAGAAATATTTATTATATTCTACTAAAACTGTCAAGATACAACTGTGTGTCTTGACAGTTTCAGTAAAAAGGTGCTTGCTGTTATCATATTAATATTTACTTTTTTGAAAGTGTGCTTCATGAGAAAATGTTCTAAGAGTGTATGTTAGAATATGATGCAAATTTAGGCACTAGCTTTTGTATTGTCTGTTCTTTGTTGACATGAACACTGAAACATGCTGGTTTTGATGTTCATGTCAGAAATTGAACATGTCAGCTTTACCAAAACTATAACTGGAGTAATCTTACTCTTGGATCATCTGTTAACATAACTTGCTTTATGTTTTGTTGTTATTGTAAGATGCAAGGTGAGGAAAATTAAGTAATCATTCGACATAATTATTTCACTATAATTGTACTTATTTTGAAACAATTTTTAAAAGGTGTTTTAGAGAAGTGTCTTCAGTTGCTTTCACTTTGATTAAAATATAATAATTTAACTCTTTTGGTCATCATATTTTACAGGGATGCTTCATTTGGTACTTGCAGTTTTCATCTGACACTGCTAGACTGTTTCCATGCAATAAACAAGGTCAGTAAACCAATTTTTTTTGTATTGCAAGAGGTCAGCGAAGTATTGCCCAGTAGAAGAAGACGACTTAGGAAACTACCATCCAATTAAAGCTGTTCAGTAGCAGCAGATTTCTGATTGTTGCATAGTTTATTATGCATTGTGATAAAACTTCTAGATACAACATCCACAGAAATTGACCTATACCTCATGTAGCCAACTAGTGATTTTAAAGAGGTCTTATTTATGTAATATTCCAGAACAGTAAATCATGCCTCTAATCCCTAAGAGTCTTGTGATAAATTTATTTTTATTCCATTCATTCCCACCACCCCCGCCCGCCGTCTTACAATTTAGGATAAATATAGCCTTTGAATGTAGTTTTGAACTGGTTAGTGATACATGCTAATTATTTCAAGTTTTTCTTTAGTAATACAAGTAGAACAACTGTTAGGAGTCAGGTGCTTATTTTACCACCAGTACAGTGGCAAAGTAACATACTGAAGGACAGCAGAATTTAGATGTGTTCTTTTTAGTCTGTATGAGCAGTGAAATGCAGAGTTACGCAGCTCTCCACTCTACTACTGTCTTTTGTATTATGGGTATCTCTGCCAAATACGGGCTGAGATTAAGCCATCTTCATGCAGATGTGTGATTTTCATCTTTTTTGCATGTTTTGACGTTGGCTGCTTGTATGCCAAAAGCGGTGTGAATTGCTATTATTATTCGTACCAGTGAACAGCCAGGAAAAGTAACAGAAGATGATGTAGTGAAAGAGGAGATTAGAATGTAGTATTTTAAATACCTGGAGATGTGGGATTATACGTGTTTGTGCTTCCTGACCTCACAAGTGGGTAAACTGCCTGTTACCTCAATGTTTACATTTTTTATACAGTATTAAATATAATTAAATATAATGGTGTGGATAATTATAGGATGTTGGGGACCACTCTTGTGCTATGTGCCTGCAAATAATTTAAAATCTATGAAGATATTAGCATTGTAGTGAGAGTGAATAGCATTCATGCACAAAAATATTTGTAATCCTTGAATGCAGACTTTAGAATCTATTCATAATTTCAATAGATAATTTTTGCCAATTATTTTTATCTTTTTTAATTTATACAGCTAGTAGTAATAAAAAGACATTGCTTCTGTAGTCTGGGATTTTGTAGTGGTTAGATAAAACCAGAAAAGAGTGGATTTGCTTGTCAAACAATACTTAACATTTTCAAGTCTGTTTTGTACCAAGACTGAGTTGATCTGTATTTTTTCAAACATATGAAGAAATCTCTCTGAGACAGTAGAACAGGTATTAAGGGGCTTTTCAGTAACCTGAAAGAGTGATAAACTGTCTTCATGGAGAAGGTTTTGTCTTTTTTAAAAGCTGTATTCTGAATTTTAGGCTTTGCAGTACGGTTTCCTGGATTTCAGTACTTTTGATGTAAATGAATATGAGCATTATGAAGTAAGTGTTCAGTATCAATCTTCTGATTTGTTTGCTGTTACTAATATTAAGATCATTGTTTCTAATATGAGCGGTTTTTTTTGTTTTTTTGGTTGGTTTGTTGTTTGGTTTTTTTTTTTTGTAGTAGTAGTAGTAGTATTATGTTCCATTTCTGTTTTGTCTCTTTAAACTTTGTTAAATAAAGGTGTGTTGTCAGAAAACGTTAAAATTCATATCTAAGTATAGTTGGCCTCAAACGTGGTGGGGGAAACAGAAACCAAAATAGGAATAAATACTTTTTTCTTTTTTTTTCCACAATTATTAAAGCCCTGGATGATGGGGAGTGAAAATTTGGCCACTTTTTAGAGGTCATGAGCATTCTTCAGCAGTTTTGATGAAACACTCGAGGGCATAGTGATCCAAGCTTAACTGAATTCTGAAGAACAATTAAAGTATGTATCTGTGAACACATGGCAAAGGTATAATAACAACACCCTTTGAGGTAGAGAAGGAAACAGGGCTGGGAAACTCTTAAGCTTACAAAATTCTCTCTGCAGCATGGGAAATGAATGTGACAATGAAGGGCTGCAATCCTTGACAGAATATGTGCAGTCTCAGAACAGCAAAGCTGCCAGTTACCTGAAAAGAGAAAATTAATTGTTCTTAGAAGCTTAAGAAAAAAAAAATTGTGGACAAAGATAAGTCCAAGGTTATACTTTAGAAACCTATAGAAATTAAAAATTAGGAGTTTACCTTCATCAGAAGGCCATCAGTTGTGGTGTTCTAAAACTCTAATTTAGAAAGCAGAGAACACAGGCAAGAAGAGTGAGGTTAAGAGCATCTGGCATCCTCCCAGTGGAAAAGAAAGCAGGCAACTAACATAACTTCCTTTGGCAAAAATTGTACATCAGTTCTATCTAGCATGTATTTTGAAACAATAAGGAAAAGCTTGAAAATACAGGGATAATGATAAACCAAGCATTTTCTCTTGACAGAGAGCAGAAAATGGAGATTTTAACTGGATAATACCAAACAAATTCATTGCCTTCAGTGGACCTCATTCAAGAAGTAAAATTGAAAATGGTATGCTTAAAAAAGGAGGTGGGGGACAGAAGCCCACTGCTTTCTTAGTTGATTGTTATCAGTAAGACCAAGCTTTTAAAATTGTTCCTCAAACAGTTGTTTTTTTCCTTGGCTCTTTTTCTTTTATAAGAACCCTGGCAGTAAAATTTTAATGCTTGGTTTAATTGTATCTGACTTGGGTCATTATGTTAAAATTCCATTTTCGAATAGTCTCTTTCTTTATACTGAACATGAATTCTATTTTGAAAGTGTTTTCATCTCTTGTTGCTGAGTCTTTGTTTATTTCTGCAGTTTGAGCCTTACTCTCTTCTTTTTCTTTTTTTTTCCCCCTTTCCTTTTTCAAATAGGCTATCCCCACCATGCTCCAGAGGCTTATTTCCCATACTTCAGAAAACATAAGGTCACCACTGTGGTACGCCTCAACAAAAAAATGTATGATGCCAAACGATTTACAGATGCTGGATTTGAGCATTTTGACCTCTTCTTTGCTGATGGAAGCACACCTAGTGATACTATAGTTAAAACCTTTCTAAATATTTGTGAAAATGCTGAAGGTGTTATAGCCGTTCATTGCAAAGGTATAGTGTAAAAACTATTTATATTACAAGCGATGCTTCTAGTTACAGTTCCTGAGGTATTTTGCATTGTAATTGCTTTAACTTATTAACAGGTCTGCCAGTCTGCAGCTTTTCCATACATTCTTTCTGTGCTTATATGATGCACTTAATCTTCTAATGTCTTTAAGTTCCTGACAAAGTTTTGCAGATGTGTCCAAAAATGAGGCTGGGGAAAGTGAGCTTGCCAATATCAACAGCTCTTTCTACTACAAATCATTTGCACTTTGAAAGGATGCTTTCGAGCCGGAATTTGAAGTCCTGGCAGGGTTTATAAATCTCTCTGAAAATACACATTTAAATACACAAGTCATAAACGTTTGAAAATATCAGTCCTTTTTTTTGAGATTCCTCATCAAGTGTGAGAGTTCTTCCAGATCACAGAAGGCTTTATCCCTCTGAAACCATTTATACTGGCTATATTGAGCATGCTCTGAGTACCTGTTCTTCCAGAGTTAGACTGCCAAGGAAAAGATATTCAGAGCATGCCCATTGCAGCTAGAGCAAAGATACAGTTTTCTGTGGTTCTAGAGGAACTATGTTTCCCTTCTCACGCCATCTTCGATTGTCAGACATTCTTCCTCCACAAACTTTGCCTCACCAGCATAGCCACTAATACTGTGGTTGAAATAGCAAGGCCTTTCCTTAACCCATTTGCCTGGGACCTGCAAAGACTGTATTTTCGTACTTGGATCTGCTATCCATTTGCTGTATGTTTAACATGAATACACTACGAAATGAAAGAACTGGTAAAAACTGCATCCTGACTGCTGGGAAACAATTGCACATTCTTATTCTTCACAGAGGTAATAAATTTGGGCATACTGCATAGTTGATTACACCTGAATATTGAGTATCAGTGATACAAGTGCTTTGTTTTCATTCAAATTAAGATATTCATTGATATTTGCAATACTAATGGTGTCTGAACTGCCTTATGTCCCTCAACCTGCGCTTAACTCTTGAGGAAGACTAGAATACTGTAGCCAGTTCTTAAAGCTGGGCAAGGCATGGAAAGTGCTGTGAGGCTGTCTTGGCTGCTGGGCTATACTTTTACACTGGGCTGCAAGATTTTGTGTTGGTGTTGAGCAGTTTATTGTCAAATGAGAGAAGGTGATGTGTGGCTTGACATTTACAGCAAGTGGTCAAGAAGAGATGCTTAGATGAAGCTGTCCTTTCCCTCTCATGTTTCCCAAGATAGAACTGTTTTGAGGGCCATTACAAGGGAGTTCCTCATTCTGGAGTACTTCTTGGCTGTGTCTGTTAGTACCCAGCTCTCCCTATAGCAAAATTGGTGGGTTTTGGGAACTAAAGTAAGAGATTAGTTAGAAATGGGTGGGAAGAGCAGCTGGTTTCATGTTTCAATTTGCAATTAGGTGCTTTGAGAATTTTGGAGAAAAAGCCACCTGTTTTATCCCATGCATAAAAGCTTTCTCATACCTATATAAATATCAATAGATAAATGCATAAATAAGGGCGGGCCTACAGATTTTGTAAAGTCACTGGCTTTGGAAGATTACTTCACTCAAAAAACATGTGACCAATGTGTTAGTAACCTTGTATATGGACAAAAAAAAAAATCAAAAGGTAAGTTGCACTTTTGATCAGTAACAGTTTAATATAATTGTTTAAATAAACCAGGCAAGTCCAAGTAACAATGTATGTAGCTACAGCAGATTCCATATGAAGATGGGTGTATGAAAGAAGCCATTCTTTTGTCTTACACAGCTGGTCTTGGGCGAACTGGTACACTTATTGCCTGTTACATTATGAAGCATTATCGGATGACAGCTGCTGAAACTATTGCCTGGATTAGGATAAATAGACCTGGTTCAGTGATTGGACCACAACAACACTTCCTCATGGAGTAAGTAGATTAACTATAAATGATTTTAAAAATTAATGTAGATGTATTTTTCTTCTTACTTTATTGAACACTTAATAATCTTTGGTGTTAATTTCTTGTGTTTTGGGCTTTTTTTTCCATGTTGTGATAGCAAACAGGCAGAACTTTGGACAGAAGGAGATATTTTCCGTGCAAAGTTGAAAGGAAACCGTAAAATTGCTGTAACAAGAATTCTGTCAGGAGTAGATGATATTTCAATTAATGACATGAGAAACAGGCGAACCATCCGAAAGGACATTGAACTGGTAACCACTGAATATTGTGCTGTTGTGAAAGTTGTAACTGCTGTTGAGAATCTCTCAGGTTCTGAACAAACCTTTGGGTACACTAAAACTAGGTTAATTAGATTCTTTTTCTGTTTGCTCTTCTTTTATCAAGGGCACTACACAGGTGAAGTAGGAGCATCCTTATTGTACTTCAGTAATTAGGCAAATATCAGAACAAAAAAGTGCTCACAATTTGCAACCAAGCAACTGCTTTTTTTTTTTTTTCTTTTATTGTCTCATTAGATGTGTTTAAAGGAAAGGGATGAAAGGTTTTCTGATCTTTTAAGTTTCTAAGTAATTTCAACTCCTATAATACCTTTTGATGCTGTGTTTAAAAAGAATGGTATTGCTCTTTTAAAAAGGCATTGAAGCAGGTAAATGCTGTACTTAAGTGAAGATTGTTCAGCACCTAAGCAAAGATTTGATAATACATTTCCACTGTTTTAAAGGTACATGACATTCTGATGCATGTAATTCATGATACCAGTTAATGGTTTACAGCTTTAAAAGCAGGAAACAGAACGAACAGGAATGTATTTATGCCAGTAAATTTCCTTTGATTTTATGCTGGCAAACTTCCCTGTTCTGATAATTCTAACTTAAGATTTAAGATAAGGTTTATTGTTAAATGTCTAAGTGTCTATATTTTAATCTTGTTTTATCCCTCCCCCCCTCCACTGATCTAGTACAGTGATGAAGATGAAACAAACTGTGTAACACAAGGTGATAAGCTGCGTGCTCTGAAAAGCAGAAGGCAGTCAAAAGCTTCAACTACGTCTCCGTTAACGTAAGTCAGTTTCTGAATGTATAAATCCAGAACTGCTTTTATACTTTTCTTTATGAATATTTCCCTTTGCCCCCAAAGTTTGCTGCTAAGCTGCTTTTACAAATCTAAAACAAGCATGAATTCACCGTTCATCTGAAGGCTTAATGAGCACTAAGGATGCAGGAGAATTTGATTAAAGAACTGCGTTACTCAATTTCTAGTTTTCTGTGGTTCTTTTTATTCCAGTAGTCTGTGCTTTACAAGCTTCCACTGTATATCTGAATGCTTTACTCTTAGTTTAACCACAAACATTTTCTTTCCTGTGGGAGTGTAAAAATGGAAGAATGTGGCTGTGTGGTGGTTTGGCTGAAGTAAGGCGCACGTTGTTTTTTGAAGTAAAATCAGCTATGTGAGAAGAGTTGGAAGACTAATCTTCAGCTTTCTTTCATTTCCTCTTCCTTGGAGAGCAACTTTCCCTGAATCCTGTGGGCTTTGGGATAATAGGTGCTGTATCTGGGAGAAAGACACTATTTCAGCGCTTTTTTGTCAGAGAACCTGAGATACTGGTGTCTTTATTTTAGACGAGTACTGAAACACCACCTGTAAAAGAAAGTTCATAGTCACCTTTGCATCTGCTTATAGCATTTGCAGCTTTTAGCAGCTGTAGGTAGGAAAACTGTCTTATCGACCTTAAGTAAACTATAGGAGAGTGCAAGACTTGGAAGACTATTTGAATCTCATTTGGGTGCTAGGAATGGAATGGTGACCCCTGGCTGTCAGACTTTTGCAAGCAACCAGAGTCACAGACCAAAGGCAACTTGGCTTTTGTTGCGCTGTCATTCAGTAGGGGATGCTGCTGCTAGCTGCTGGCCTTTTTTTTTTGTTTTCTTTTTTACGAAGATCAGCCAGTGTCATCAGACTTTTAGAAAAAATGTGAGAGGTATGTAGCAAGAATGTGCTGAAAGTAAAGGAATGTATTTTTGGAAACTCTCACACGTTGTGTATGACTACTGCTTTTGTTTTAAAAGATTCTCTTTTGTTCATGCTCATCATTTACACAAGCAATCATTCAAGAACCAACAGATTCGGAACAAAGCTTGTACCCAGCTGACATTACAAAAAGTCAAAACACATCACCTCAGCTACCTCGAATAGTTCAGTGAAAAACAGCTACCTTGCACATTAGTTTCTAAGGCACTTAGTGTTTTAGTTTTCACTTCATAATATTTTTTTTTTCATAAAACCCACTTTTAAGTCATGCAATAAAGATTGTGAAAGATCTCCTTTATCTTTTATTCTGTAGAATGGACGTAGACTGTATGGTAATCTGTTCAGAGCCATTGTCCTAATATGCAAAAAGCCTATCAACTATTAAAAAATTACTCCATTCATAAAGCATTGTGCAACATGATTGCTCTAATTAAAACTAGTTAATTTTTACTTCTGTACAATTAAAATAATTGATCTAGGGCTTATAGTTGTTTTTTATGGTGTGCATTGTGGCATGGGGAGTTAGAATTTGCCTCCTCCTGTTCCTTCATGTTATTTACACGATGTGCAGCTTACACTGAAATAATGTGGTGAAAAATGTATAACTTCTTAGATTCTTTCTGTTACAATTATTAAATCGAAATATCCCTAGGAATATTTAGGTGCCCTACATGAGTCTTCCGCATTAGAAGAGGTGTCTTCTTCCATTTTAAGTGACTGTTAAAAATAATTAGTCTTGCAGTGAAATTGATTAACTTTATCTAAGCAAACACAAAGGAGCTTCTAAATCCTCTGTGTAGTTTTATTTCACAAAGAAAAGAGCAGCAGAAGCTGGGACAATTACAGCCTTTGAGAGCTAGAGGTGTTACTTATGTACAAGTAACAAGGGATGTGTATAATGCTTGTTAATGTTTCTTGAACTTGGTTGTTCTCACTCTGTGTGCTTTAATGAGTGGATACTTCCTAATTAGCAGTATTCTGCACCTTCTGCACCTTCAGCAAAGGATTCTGAATTAGCTTTTGCTACTTTGAACACAGGAAGGTAATACAGCCCTTCATCTGGGAGTTTACATAAGTTGCTTGCTCCTGCAAACTCATCTGGCTCTGATCTAATGTTTTAGTACTACAACATATGATGGTGAAGTAGGCTGTATGAATATAGGCTGAACAAGCTGTGTAAGAGGTGGCAGCAAGAGATCAGAGATGTACTGCTCCAGCATATGCTTACTTTCAAAAGAGCAATGCAGATTTTCTTTGGAATAGACGACTTCAGTGAGGATTTCAGAAAATTTGCTTTGATTCTAGCAACACATTGATACTACATTTGGCAATTTATGATCACGTGGATTGTTACAGTCATAGAAAGTAAGAAAATGTTTGGCAAAGGTTATAGAGCAGTATGCTTTTCAAGAGCTTGAAACAAGCCTAAATGCAGCAATAGCTTTTGCTTTTGAATTTTTGTTCATCTTTTCCTCCCCCTCCAACCCCTTTTTTAGATGGCTCCTAGCTATGCTGGTGTCTACACTGTGTAGCATTGTCATCTGGTGGATTATATGTGGCTCCCTCCTGCCCAGCCTACTATTCTGTCTAGATGGTTTAAGAAAATAGTAACCATCACCTGAGAGAGAGCCACTGTGTAAGTGTCCCATTCCATTTCTCTACAATAGCTCACGCTTTGTGTCTACTGTGTCTCATAAATGCATGTTTTCATATTATGTTTCTTACTGGCTTTGTTGCAAGAGTAATTTCACTGCGCTGGTTTTGTGGTATTTTTATATGTATTATTTCTAATAATTGATTTTTATGGCTGGCTTGCAATACAGAAAGCTGAAGAGTTTTTACAATTAGGATAACTTATAATTTTGAAGCCTTTCTTTTGTGCATGCTTCTGCAAATAAGCAAAACTATATAAGCAAAATTATATTTGTAAAAAGGAAAAAGTACTGCTTTAAAATATGATCCTAACCCTTTGCGTATTGCAGATGAAGATGTTAGCTCCAGTTTTACTTTGAAATTCATGAACTTGCAAAATGGGCTAGGTTCTCAAAGGATGGTTTTACTCACGTGAAATGACAGGAATCAGAATTTGTTAGAAATGTCAGTAGGTCTTTGTTTTTAGTAAGAGACTATAGTAGTGAATGCCACAAGAGGCAGTAACATGGGACTTCTTTTTTCCTTCTTTGCATAACAGAAAATGAGGGAGGTTGCAGTATTAGGTCAAGGCTGACTTGTTTACCCAGCCAGTCTGGTTTCATCTTCTTATGTTCACAAATAGCTTTTAATAAAAGATCTTTATGAAACTACTTAAACCCTTTCTTTCTGTTACTTGGATTCAGTAGCTGAGTAAAGCATTAAAATCACATTTGTTCCTTGGCTAAAGTTTTCACTCTTTCTCCAGTCCACTTTTGTCACAGTGGCTGCATTGATTGCTGTGCCTTCCTTCCACTTATAAAGTGCTGTGTTTTCATCAAGCAACAGCTTCCATCTTTTGGATTAACAAAACTTCAGCAGCACACAGAACTGCCAGGAAACCCAAACAGGAATTTTTTTGCTTGGTGCGCTGTCTCTCTGGAGCTGCTCAGTCACCACCACTCTGAAAGCGAAAGGGTTACTTTGGGTGAATGATTAAGACTTTAGTGTTCTCACATTAAAAATAGGTCAGAAAAGTATTTTACATCAGAGTCCTAAGTAAAAAAAGACACTGCCTCTTGGCACAACATTAAGAGTTTCTGCCCTTCTTACCATTAGCCTGCAACTTTTTGTCTCCACTTTTAAAAAGCATGGGACTCCTTCTAAAGTAAGTGACTTAATAACTAAAGAATGAGAACTGGGAGTTGTGGACAAGTTAGGTACACCATCAACTAAAGATCGCTTTAGATTTGTTGGTTTTTTTTCATTGATACCTATCTTTGTCAAAGAACAGACTTAAATGAGAGACTTGCTCTCAAAATTTTGCACCAAATGTATCACTTTTTCTTGTCTCAGTGTTTTCCAGAGTCAGACCTCAGATTTCTAAACTTGGATTAAAAAGCTAAACTTAAAACATGGGTTAAAAAAGTGAAACCATCTGCCCTGTGTTTTTCTGTACCGTACGATCAATTCCACTCAACTGTCATCCTTTCTTTCTCTTTTCTGTATTGTGTCTAAAAACTTCCTTGCTACAGGGAAGGAGAAAAGATTGATGTTGGTAAATATGTCATGAGGCAAGCAATTGGGTTACTGGTGCTGCTGCCTCATGTCCAGGATTGACAGTCATGCAATGTTGGTTAATGTCCAGGCAGAGAAAATGCTTAAGCTTTTCTTAAAAGCTAGGCTAACATTCTCTCCCTCATGCAGGTAGTGACCCTTGTGTTTTAGGAGGATTTATCAAACAGGATCATGAATCAACTTGGGCTGGCCTGGCAGTCCTCGTAGCTGGAGCCCTGTAGAGCAAAGAGTATCAATAACTTGTTGCCTGTTGATGACTTAGAAGAGTGGTAGAGGCTATTTTCCTGTTTTCCTAAATTCAGGCCTATTTTCCTAAAAATCATGAGGTGTTGAAAAAGAAAGCAATATTCTGTTTGACAGACCTTACAAAACAGGTAGTCTGGGCAAGAAAAAGTGCCTATTGCAGGACAGAGAACACACGCTCCTGTGTAACCTTTCTTTCCCTCATCCTTCCGCAGGATACTGTAATCAGTTTTCCTTTAAAAAAGCTTGCTGTGTGGATTGATTTCCTCCAAGATGTATTATCTTGATGACACTTCAAGTTTTGTGGATTTTTTCTCGGGTTGTGGGATTTTGGGCTTTTGTGTCCTGGTGGTGTACCAGTCTCCACACCCTGCTCTGAGTTAGGTGGTGAAAAAAAGTAGTGAAGTATTTAAAAGATGGTGCTACTGATCAAAATACTGTTCCATTTAAGTAGGCTTTGATTTGTTTAAAGGCCAATGTGTTAGCTTGAATAAATAAATAGTGTATAAACTAGTCTGGTGTTCGGTGAGTATATTAGGTTCAGAACTACCAAGTAATGCTTCCATTACAAGTTAATTGAAGATGAAAAATTCTTGTATGTATTTACTAGTGTGGCTATTGCAGCATCCTGTAGTCTGTGTTCAGTAAATGTTCTGCCTTTTTTAAAAGTAAAAAAAAAGAATTCAGTTAGAAAACCTTTGTGTACTTTAGATGCACCTTCTGCTGGTGTTTCTGGAAGTTCATCATTATGATGTACAGCATGACATGATCTTTAACATGAACACTTACAAAGCAGCAAGGCAAGTGTCCTGAGGATTTTACCTTTCTCTAACGTGGATTTTGATTTTTTCTGGTCCTGAGATTTTGGGAGGATTTCCTCTACTGTGACCTCATCTCATGTCCATTTCAAAATCTATTAATCAAACCTGCTGTCAAGTGAGGCTGCTAGTCTCATTGTGTTCAGTCAAAAGTCCATACATTAAAGATAGTTTCTTCTCTTACCTCAAACATATATGCAGTAACATTCTAACAAAAGCTCTGATAGCAGTTAACTTCTCCCAAGCTGACAGTTATTGGGCCCAGAGACAGCTCTGCGTGTTTATTTGTAACACCATGACAGACAATGATGTAAATGGGACTTTGTTTTCCTTGAGGTGCTATCAGCCTTGGAAGGCTACAGTTCTAGTCTGATTTAAAATGTATATTTGATCATTCAGGAATGTTTTGCTCACAAGAATTTCAGTTGATCCTTACTCTTGGATAGCCATGTGAAGTTACGTATTGGTGAAGTATAAAAATGACATACTGACTGAAGAGCAGATGATGTTAAAGGTTCTGTCATGCTCACAGCTGGCTCTGAGCTAATCCCATAAGCCAGCTCCTTCTCTCCCTGCCAGTTAGTAAATACAGCAATTTAAGATGACGTTGTGGTTGGTTTGGTCTTATGGTGCAATTATATATGTGACTATTTTTGTAAGTCACATTCCCATTTAGAGTATCCTTTCTTTGTTTTGAACAGATAAAATGAAATTCTGTGGGAAGTAAAGACATCCCTATGATATGTTGAATAAATGAATATTAAGTGTTTGTGTAAGATGCTATCTTAACACTTCATAATGTTTCTTTTCATATTCATGAAGTGTATGGGTTTAAGCCATGTATACTTACCAGTTTTCTAAACTTCTGGTGCCTGGAAAGAGAGAAATATTAGAACCGTTAGATCCCATTCCAATAACTTTTGTTTTCTTTATACTTACATTGCATGTATTTTATACAGCGAGACACTGTATGTATATCTTTAAGGAGAAAACACAATTTTTCCATATTTCTGCCTGTATGAGCACTTATAAACCAGCATGTACCAATATTTGGTCATGCTTATATTTCAGTGACTAAATGTTATGGAGTTAAGCCAGCTTTGTACCTTTCTGTTCCGTCCTGGAAGTTGCTAGTAGCACAAATAAAACTGGTGTCATTTTTAAAGCTTAGTTGAACATGCAGTAGCCCAAATTTGCTCATGTTTTATGGCAGCTGTGGCACTGAAAAGAGAATTTTAAGTCTTGATATTAGAACTTGCTGGAACTGTTTTACATGCACAGTAGAAATTATAAAGTGAACTTTCAGGTTTTGGGCTTTTTCACCTTGGGAATGCAAGGAAAACAGATATTGTTAGAAGAATTCGTGTTGTCTGCAGAAGAATGATACAGTGTTGAAGGTATTTGGGTTTTGTTTTCAGCTTCTCAAATAAGTGATCCCTCCAACTTCGAATGTGTTGTGTTTACAGTAGAATTTGCTTTGCAACTTGCCATTACAATCTCGTGTCTTATCTTGGAGGAAGAGAAGACTGTTTGACTTGGAGTTTTGCAGATCAAATGACAAGATTTTCCATGCCTGAAATACTAAGAGAGGCTTGTTGAAGTAGAAATTTAAAATACTTGAACTTTGTGGCTCTGTAGTCATCTGTTTGCTGAAGAATCTGGAAGTATGTGGTAAATAAGGTTGCAGATCAGTTTTACTGCTGTAAAAAATCTATTTTGGATGAAATTGTATTATCTGTAACACATATTGTACTTCTGGTATCAAACCCATATAAAAAATTAAAGCAGAGGGTTTGGGTTTCTTTTCCATTTCTGTTTTTGATGAATATGTTATACAAGTATGAAAATACTCATATTTGCTCCTATGTATGCCTATCCACCTTTGCTCCAGAGGTTAAGTTTTTTGTTCATATTTGGGATTCTTTGAGAACAGTTTCTTCAGAGTATTAAGCAACCAGACTGCAGTTTATACAACTTAATGAAGGTTTTGATTTCCAATCTAATATAATCTGCTGACACAAGTAGACTCAGCGAAGCCACTGAAAATTAGTCTAATAACATCACAGGAAAAACCATAATAGCCAAGTTACTCTTGGCTCTGAATCTCTAAAATTATACATAGTTTTATAGTTGGAATCTTGCACAGATGGAATGGCTAGGAAGCAGGCATATAAAGTGATCCACTAAACAGATATCTATGGGCTGCATTGGGCAGTTGTTGCTTCTTGTCTCCATAGTATCATAATTGCAGTACAGCTGTTCAGAAGTACAGAAGACAAGATTTCCCTAACCAATTGGCTAGTGACTAAAAATAGTTGCTTGCATTTCACAATCTGGAATTCTTTGCTTACTGATGTAAGCAACACTAGTCTGCCTGTTTAGGAAATAGTAAGTATATTGCTGTGAAGTCTTCCAGAAAAGTGGCTGAGCACAACCACCATGTAAAGCTGAATTTCGAGCATGGCGTAATAGTTCCCTGCAAGAGCAGAATGCCAGTATATGCAATGATTTTCCTACTGTACTGTATTTCAAGGGAATAGCTCATGGTTAATTGCAGGAGATTTAGACTTTGATCTTCATAAATTGATTTACTTGGGGTTTTTTTCTGAATTTCTCTGTCAGTCTCAAAAATAATAATTGTTGCATACTTAAGATTTTATCTTGTTTTGTTGTTGTTTTGTTGCGGTAATTTGAAGTACGATTACTTTGCCTTTTTTTTCTTTTTGTCTCTGAAAAACAGGAAGTTCAAAATCATTAATTTAATGCATTATTTGAAAGGAAAAGCAACAACAACCAACAAACTGCTATGCTCCTATTAAACCAACTTGCATTACCATAATTACAAGAAGGATGTTATAAAGAAAAGGATGTGTTTCAGGCAGAACAGTTTGGTTTTTAGTATGATTTGTGAAAAGCCATCTGGTATTTGTTAGCTCCACTGCAACTGTAATGTCCTCTTTTCAAGTGTTTTCCTAGAAACGTGGAGGTTATATAATCTTTCTTTTTTCCTACTCTTTACAGAGTAATTCTGCAGTCCAGTGTTCAGAAAAGTAAAACCTCTGAACCTAGCATTTCTGACAGTACAGACATTACTAAAAGAACTACCAGGTCTGCTGCAAGAAAAAACAGTTTAAGAAGGTGAGAGTTACCATCTTTATAGATCCAGTAACTGTTGTCTAGGCAAACACTTTGAGCTGGCGTATCCATTGCTGACAGGAGCTTTTGCCACTGTTCAACTCCTTCGTGTAGCAATGAGAAATGAGGAATTCTGTAATTTACGTCATGTACTGAGAATATCAGTAATGTTAAATCTTAGTTGTGTATGTTGCTTAGTCTTTCAACTTCGAGAATATTATGTTGTAATTCCTAACATGAGTCCTAACAAAATTTTCTTTACCAAACCTCTGCCTAGAGTAAGAGGTGGAAAGGTTGTTCACAGAATTAAGTCAATTATTAGTCAGTACATGAAGTCAAAATTAAGAGTTCGATGGACAACTGAAATGCAGTGATACTGGAGAGGTGAAGTGTATAAAATGCATGTGTACAGTGCATGAGATTTTGTACTGAGAGTATAGGCTGATAATCTGAACTGAACCTGTTTAATGAAATTTTAAATTCAGATGGATTTATGCAAGACCGAGAGTGTCTTTTAGCCCAGAAACATGTGGCCTCAGTACTGTGTTTCGTTGTGTGTGCATATGTTCATGTCCCTCTATGGCAGCTCTCCAGGCTCGAAGATGAGGCTCAAAGATGAATCAGAGAATATAGCTTAAAAAAATTTCCATGCAATTTCCAGTGGTTACAACTGACAGAATTTGTCCTATACTTTTAGTGGAGACCTTTTGAACGTGTCTGTCAGGTGCTGAGGAGACTTAATGTGTTGAGAAGGGTAAAATATGGCAAATAACGTTCAAAAAAGTAGTTACGTAGCTTGATTTGTACATATTGCTGAAAATTCCAAGTTCTTCTGCTGCTTTTTCCTCACAGAGCTTTTCTTTCTCCTTCCCCATTCTGTTATCTTGAATGTAACCAGCATTATGAAAAATTCACTCTATCAGACAATGGAAATAGTCATTAATAGTAGACTGCAGTAAATTCTAGTTAGAGAAGTTTTACAGTGGCTATATCAATTACTTTTAGATTCTTATAACAATGTGTTAAAAATAACCCCTTTTTCCTGAAATGCGTGTTTTACTAAAAATCCAAAGTATTTCTCAAGTTTTCCTGTTTGGTCACTTGTTTTTTTCCTCCATTTTGCATCATTTTCACCACATTAATTTTGGTCCAGACAGAATTGGATTCAGAATGGGATTCTGCCTGCTGTTTTTCTTCTTCATGACTCTCCCAATTTTAAGTTCCTTGTAACACGTAGTAGCTGTATGCATGCACACGTGTAACTGAACAGAGATTTTCAGTTCCTGGAAAACACACCTCCAAGTTGGTGTTTGTGTTGTGCGAGGTGAGAATACCTGTGCTTAAGAGGAAACAACATCCCTGAAATAGAGTTCATGGAAGATTTCTGTTATTTTGAAAGAAATCCTTTAGGTATATTGCAAGATTTATGACTCTGAGGACCAAGGATCAGGTTGATCTCAAAATTCATGAACTACTTCATATTTTAATGGCTTTTCTAAAACTTCTACCCCAAATACTTCATTCCATATACTGTTTCTTTTCTTCTAACATCTGAGGTCAAAGGATTTGAGTCACTTTATGCTTGGATCCAAGAATCAGTTTTGTCCTAAATAGTTATGTCACAGTTCTGGAGTTCTTAATTGTCTTGTCATCTGAGAGGGCTAATAGGTCCCTGCACACTGGTCCCTTAAAGGGTGTTTCAGTATGGTGGTACAATTTTATGGACTTCGAAAGCAGTACCCTGTTGTTAATCTTTTAAGTGTCTCTTTATTTTTCCAGTAGTATTTGGCAAAACCTCACTTTTTATTTTTGAATTTTTTTCTTTAAGCATCCCTTTGTTTTTTCATCTAAGTTTATTTTAACTTCTTGAAGTCTGTCTGATTTGCATTACCTCACAGTGCTTGAATTGATTGACCTGTTACAGATCAAGTGGACTGCAGGGTAGAGGAGAATTACTATTACAAAATTGAGATCATGCCCTTGACAAAGACATTGACAAAGACATCTGTCAAGACCTTGTTGCCTTCTCTGAACTTCCAAGATTACTATGTACCCTTATTCTTTCAGTATCTTGTCTGATTAAGTTCCAGTGGAAACATCTTGTGGTATTTTTACATTTTCATTTGTTGATGCTTTAGGTCATTTTAGTCAATTCTTACTGTAGATTAATCACATTTGCGACCCATCCTAATGCAGAATAATTCACAGAGCTGGGTAATTCATTTGCTGTTTCTTCCTTCAGACTCTTGGAGACACTATCATAGAATTCCTCCAGAATGACTTGTTAGCCAAAAGAGCAATTTACATCTAAAACACTCTATTCTCTCTTTGCAAAGAGAGTTTAGGGAATTTCAATTCATTGCATTTCTTTGGGGAACTTCTCTGTATGTTGCATGTGACTTATGAAAGACCAGTGGACATAATACTTTATATCTTGTGACTGAAATAAGACTGTTGTTGAACTGCAAGAAATGGCGTTACTAGAGCGCTATCCACAGCCTTATTCTGTAGATGCCCTTACTTCTCCAGTTAAGATGTTTTCCTTGTAAATTTGCCAGTTACTGAGGACTTCATGTCTGTATTTTAACAAGGTGCATACATAAGATCCAAACCAACTGAATCTTAGTAAGACACAAATGAAGCAGTCTTTTCTGTGTTACCACACATAATAGAATTAGGATTATGTATATAGTAACTTGTTGATCAGAAGTAAAATTTTACGCAGTGAAAGAATTTTGGTAGGTAGAGGTGTTTAAGGGAATGCAGGTAAAAAAATAATTGAGAATATGGAGGAAATTGTATAAAAAGTGTATTGTATAGATTACTGCTGTTAACCAGAGAGATATATCACAAAAATTAACAAAGATGAATATGCTTTAAAAATCTCATATGCTTTCGCTTTGCTGGGAATTGTAAAGCAGCCTTCTGCACCCTTGTTCAAACACTGAGAACTACCTGCAGTTTTTCAGAGCTTGTCTATATATAATCTAAATCTAGCTTTAAAAAAACGATGTCTCTTTATTATTCTTTCTACCTTTCCTGCAGTCTGATAGAGAGAATGAAAAGGAATGCTTTATGGCAAATGCGCTTAATGAAGTTATGGTACTTTGAACCCTCTGTTGCTTTTCTGTATGGAATGGAACCTTTATTCATATTGTCTGTAATCAGAGCAGTCCTTGCTTTCTTTACAACCAAGACTGCTGTGTTCTTAAATGCAGTGACTTTTGCCTTTCGTTTCTTTTCTTTGAAGTATTGTTTGCTCACTTTACCTTGCCAGAAGTGTTCACTTGAAATACATATCAAGTGCATTTTTAACTTTTTTCCTTAAATATGTTTTATTTCAGCAGCCAGTCCATCCCAAGGGCTAGAACAGTATTGCGTTAAATTTCAAATAAGGAACTGGTACTGAAGACAATATTCAAGAATGATGGGGACATGACTAAAGGGGATGTAATTCAATTCAAGGAGGATTACTTCAGCTCCATCTTTCAGCAAAAGTGAAACAGAAGAATTTCTTCCATACTCGTAGAATAAAACAAACTGTCAACATGCTTGGTAGAAATGTTTCTAATGTGCTAACACTTTCTCAGACAAAACCAACAAAATCAATGTACTTTCAAACTCAGGTGTAAATACTTAAGCTCTTTATTATAAAGAGGGCTTGCTAGTATATATGATGCATGTGTATAAATTGTGATGGCAATCACTTAGCTGCTGACCACCAGAAATTAAAGATGGTGGGAGGTTTTAAGTATATAAATCTGTGTTGTCTGTTCAGACTGGACTCAAGTCTTCACTTGGGTCTGAAAATGAACCACAATAGGCTTTTTTTCTTATAGTCTTGGTACTCTCCTGTGTTAATTGGCTATTCTTTCTTATTTTGTATGAAGTTTTTTATGAAGCCGCAGTAGTGAGTACACAAAGTGACTATGGCCCACCAAAGAGTGCTTTATTTTCAAGGGTTGTGTGGTTTGTTTATTTTGAAATACACTAACTGTGATTAACTTGTTTTTAATAGTAATAGATTCTTAGTTGTTCACAACCAATGGCACCTTTAACTAGTTGCAGTTGCTTTAAATCTGGTACGATTTCAAGGGGGAAGAAAACCAGCTTACATTTAAAGCAGTATCATCATATTGAAATGTCATTATTGTTTCCTTCCCCATCTTCAAGTCTTTTAGGTGACACTTCAGATTAGCATACGTAATAGGTAAGATTTTTTCCCAGGTTCTATTGGTACACTTGACATGTGTATGTCAAGTACACAGTGACATGTGGATGTCACTGTTTTTTAGCTTTGAGACAAATGAGTGCAGCACACTAAAAAGGGAAAATAAGCTTGCTGTACAATTGAGATTGGTAGTGGAACTCAGGGGTGAGTAGAGTTTTTTAACATCTAATTACCACAGCTCCTCTCTGTTAAAAAAGCAGTGTGATTTTTAGAGAGAGCTGAGACTGACATTTTCATCCACTACAAGACTGCCTTCAAACACTGGCAGCATTTTTTCCCTACCACTTTTCGCTTTATGAAATCTCAAAGCTGAAGTTTGTAGCTGCATATCCCTCAGACGAGGACTGTTACCACGTAGCCTTAAATATGATAAGAGTTATGTGTCACTGTAGTGACTCTAACAGTAGAAAAAACAGAAGAAACTGAGATACCTGAAATGTTAGCAGTGGAATAACTGAAGATTTTAAATATACAGATTACCTCTGCACAGGGAAGAATTTTCTTTTTATGAATGTAAGTGGGCAAGTTTGGTGACCAGTTTCAATCTATATCCTTCTAAATTAAAATTAAACTATTAGGCTGGTGATTTTTGAATTCTGATATGAATAACCACACACTGGCTTGAAAACAATTTGTGGCAAAAGCATCATGAGTTGGAGAGGAGGCAAGATGTAAGCTTACAGGTAGCATCCACGAGTTTGGATAGTCAAAATTTGCAAATACAAATAAAGCAGAAGAGCAGAAGAGGCTTATATGGTGCAAAATAAAGGACCATTGAGTCTCAGATATTTTTTGTTTTCCTCTTAACCGTCACCACCATTTTCTTATAGGTGAAAGCACCGAAAAGAGAGGGACTGAATTCACCCTGATACAGTGATTAAAATTTATATTTTCTTTTTATTTTTTTTTTAAAGCCATTTGCCCAAAAGCTGGAGTACAGGTAACCACAGTAGTAGATATATTACGCAAACATTAATCTGTGTTTGACAGAAATTCTTACCTTGGAACGTGGAAGGGATGAAACTAGTGATGTGAGAGGGTGAGAGTCAATACAAGAAGTAATATTTATTATGTTTGGCCTTACCCTTCTCTCAGCTGAGCTTCCTGTTTTCCCATCTTTGTTCTAACCTAAAAATAACCAGCCTATTTCACACCCCTTATGAATTCCAAATTGGAATTTGCCCTTTCTAAAGTAACCAGCATAGCCCTTAGCACTGTCAGGCTCATAAAAAGAAATTTGCATAAAAGCAGCACACAAACACAACAGGAACTCTAGCTAAACCAAAACTGCATGTTTGGCATGAGTGTGTTACAAGATACCCCTTCCACCTCCCAGTATCTTAGTGACATATAAATGTCAAAGGCATTTTACATTTGAACTCTCCAAACAGCCTTAAATGGAAGACCAACTCATTACCTCGTTGTGTCCCATCTAACTGTATTGCTTAGTTTGTTCTTCTGAATTTTTAGTACTTTGTCTAGCATTTTTATTGTACCATACCAAAACTGTCTTAGGTGCAAGAATGAAGAGGAGGCATGGGTGAGTGTTGGTGGGCATGGTTTCTCAATCTTTCTTGAATTGAGGGGTACTATGTGCCAAAATGGAATGTGTAGCAGCAGCTGCATCACCATTACACCATGGAGCAGCTGAAGGAAGTTATTTCTGCTGTCATTAATAAGAAGTTTTCCCTTAGAAATTCTTTCCCCCTTTCAGATATATGACAGGTGGAATCTTCTTTGATCTCTAAACTCTAAAATATGCAATATACTCAAAAGCTGTAATATCTTGTGTCAAATTGCTAGCTCCCATTACAGCATCAATATCTTAACTTGAATGTTACCCTGTATGTTGTCTTTTTGCCCCAGTATGACAATGGAGGAAGTGCTGCTGATTTAAAGCAAAATACGATTTGGAGATACTCATGCATTAAAAAGAAAAAAAGAAAAAAAAGAAAAAAAGACAAAAAGAAAAATGTGATGTTCAGTTTGTTGCACTGCAGTTTTTATATTAATGGTTTGCAGACTGTTTGTGTTGAGTAAACTCATGTGCAGACTATCAAGATCTAAAGTTCCTAATCTGCTCATCCTGATTATTTTTGAATTGTATATTTCTAATCATATTTTTTTAACTTAGATTGACAGGAGTTTATTTTGCTGACGGTATTTTTAAAATAAAGCTTCGTATTATCTTGTAATACTAAGTAGTTCAATATGCATTTGTGTCTCATTGGAAAATACCGCATATTGATTTTATACAAAGTATCGAATAGTGAGAATTGTAAACATGAACTGTGTAAAATTAAAAATAACAAGAAATTGTTTTCTCACTTTTATTTCCAATATTCTAAAAAATTCAGCACAAAAATATCTGTACTACACTGACTCATATGTGCTCTGAAAAATAATGCAGGAATCTCTGCTGCCTAAAAACCTTTAATTAAAGCACAAATCCTTAAAACATACACTTGTTTCATTTCAAAAACAAAGACCTCTGGGCTCTTTATTTCAGGGGACTCATTTTGGAAAACAATAGTAATTGTTGAATTGTCGGGATACTGCTACCTAGTAAAAAACATGGGTAAGAGAGAAAAATGGTGTTCTGGTTAATGTGTTTCATGCTTCTATGATCAGAGAGCTCATTTTTGGAAACAGGCATCATACTTTGATACTTACTGTGAAAGGGAAGGCTTCACAAAAGAAGCCTAGAAACTAAACTTCGAGGAACACTTGTTCTTGCATAAGAGTTGGTGGTGGTCTAGTGTAGTCTTTAAGAAGAAAATCTAAACACAACAGCCAAAAATACGGACTGACTCAAATGCTTCTGATCACCTCACCTACATTAGAAACTACAGAACTTAAGGATGCCAGGCAGAGACTGCTTGACAAGCAAGTAAACTTTCACTTGTTCCGAAGGTGTGTTTTTATGGTTGGAAAACCTGGGTTCACCTGTTGGAAGGTCAACTTTTCTAAACTTACGTGAATGCTTAAAACCACCTTTCCCTCAAAAGCAAGTTGCCTGCTGAGGAGTGAATGGTGGGTTTTGCCTGGGAAAACATTGGTTTATGCATATGTCAGTTAAGCCCTATGGTATAAGTAGCCATTTAAGGGGTACTTCACTGGGCAAGGGAGGGCAGAGGACTGAAACATCCTACAGAGAACAACAGACCAGTGACCCATGTCAAATCCATTGACAAGTCAGGAAGTGCACTGCAAGAGTAAGCTCTTTACAGTATCTCTGAATAACTTTGTTTTGGCTGTCTTTATCCTCCTTTGTATTACAGTTTCTACACGGTGTATGTAGGAGGAGATAAAAATAGGCTATATCAAAATGGATGTGCTTAGAAATACTCAAGGTTGTTGTTAAAGAGAAACTGCATGCTTTAAGCCTAACTCACTGAGAGATTTTTGAGGGAGAGCCATCTGCTTTTTTCTTGCATTTGTGGTTTTGGGGTTGGTGTCAATTTGGTGACCAGTTAGCCCTTAAAGCACAGGAGGGATGAGGGAAGATGGCCAAGAGTGATGTGCTTGTGAAGCTGGACCACAGCTGTCACAAAGAAGGTGATTTTTTCTCAACACAAAGGGATTGGAGGGCGGCCTATGTTTCAGATAAACCACTATCAACATCTGAGTGTTTCAACTGGTGGTGTTGATCTGCTATGTCAAGACTGAAGGTTTCCCTGAGCTGGCCAGATCAGCATGGAGAGAGCAAATACGTAACAGTATAATCCACAGACACCTGCCAAAAGAATTTTGTAGAGAGGAACATTCTTCAGCTGGCATCAACTCTCCTGTTCCTTCCTGGCTCCTGGGGACACCCTCTATGGTGATGGCAAGGGTATCATAGGAACCAGTAATGGGAAACACTGGTACTGTGATTGAACTGTGCATTGCAATTGCTCTAAGTTACGACATGTAACCTTTATTTGTGTTTTGTTTTCAGTCTACACCAAAAATATCATGTGACATCAGTCATCTTCAGGTTAGTAAATTTGGTATTAAGCATGACACCCTCAATCCATGGGTTATTGCCTAAGAAACTGGTCCAAGGGTTGGACTGTGACAACAGGGCTGAGGGAAGGCATCTAGAAAGTCTGTCACTTGAACAGCTCCACCCCTGGTCTGTGTCCTCCCTATCAAACTCTGTCCCAGTTCACAATGATATAAGGAAAGCAAGTGCCTGGAAAACATAGGGTTAAGATACTTTTAATGTAGGTCTGAGATAGAGAACAATGTTTGTGTTGTAAATCTGTGGTGTGATAACAGAATTTAGTAGTCTTACTAACAAGAGTGAACTATTTCTTTCCATCATCCTTCTAATGAGTGACCATCCTAATTATCAGTTACTTTGCAGATGGTGACTCCCAAACACCTGCTACCTTAGGATACTCCTTGCCTGCCCATCCTGTTCTGCTTGCAATAAAATTTGTACGAAGGTCAGACTGTTCTAAGTCTTTGCCAGCTATCAGAAACTTGCAGACATGGTTGATTTCAGCTAATTTGTGATTACTGGGGCATCCAACTGTGCCAAAGGTGAAGAGTGCAGCCTGAGGAAGACTGCTTACTTCATCTTGAAGACCCCTGCCCACGACCATCGAAGGGCAATGTGCAAGCATCAGAAGGGAGGAGACTTATGATAATGAGTACCTAAACTAATATTAATATCCCCGCCAAACTCTTGGGAACCTAATGAATATGCATGTTTGTGTGTAATAAATATCTGTTTGCTTAACCCCTTGGTGTGCAAGTTAGGAGGAGCAATCCCCCTTGCACCCAGTGCTGTAATAAACACACATCCTTTATAACTCTGAGTTGTAGAGTCTGATTCCGTGCTTCACGCAAGGCTGCTAAAGAGTCTCCAGCAAAACCAGACGTTCCAAGCAACTGTTTTCATCCCTCAGTCCGGCACAGCAGCAGATGCAAAGTACTTACATGTCACTGGTACCTCCAAGCCCCATCTCTTCCAACTACACCAGCTATGCCACAAGCAGGAGAAAGTGGTAAATCCCAAACTCCTTGTACCCTGACAGCATAGAGGGAGATTACCCTTGGCAGCAGCTATTATTGAAACCAAAAGAATTCCAAAGTGATTGCTGCCCATAGCAGAAATATAGCAACTATGCAAATGCAGAAGCAGACCAGTTCTCACTCTTGTGATCTTGGTCTTGCTTCCATCAGTGCTTTGATGCCATTCTCTTCAGATGTCAGGACAGTTCCTTGGCTTTATACTCGGTGAAAGGGCTGCTCTTTACCCCTCCTTTACACACGGTTTCTCTATAGACCCACTTGTGTTTCTTCCCATGTTTGAGTTCTGCAATTACGAGATGCATTTCACTGTTCTTCACAAAACATCATGCTCCTAGGACTGAATCTCAGTACTCACAACAGGTGATACTTGTCCCGGTGTCATGCTTCCAGGTGCTTTTGTCCACCTCTTTCTTGCACACTAACATAATCTCTCATCTTAAGTAAACTATTAGTTAATGTTCTTTGTTGGGTTCCCTTCCCTTCCTCCTGCTGATCAGACCTTTTCTAGCCTATGGCCTTCTTTCACTTCTGTAGAAACTTCACTGAAAAGGTTATTAGGCTTTAGTTTCCCCATAATAGCTTCTTCCAAGGTCCAGAGCCTTTGCTAAAGCCAGAAAGACCTCTGAAAATAGCATTCAATCTTCAAGTAACAGAAATATGACAAACCACTAGCAAGCACAGAATTCCTGCATTACAGTAGGTCAACTTGTTTTTTCTCTTACCGGAATAAATCTGCATCTTGTTGCTGCTAGTTTTACCTTTTGGCAAAGCTATCGTGCCAATTCAAATACATTATGCAGATGTGGTTTCCTTGATTCAAGTAGTAACTACTGTACAAGTCTAGACAGAGGAACTACCAATGCTAACACCAGACAACAGCTTACTGAAGTCTGTTAACTAGCTGTAAAACATTTTGGACAACAAACCAAAGAATTCACACTAGCTGCCAAAACAGGGTGGGCAAAAACTTTATTCAGTTCATTAACTGCTAGTTGATCTCAGATATAACACAGCATGATGCAGTATCTAAAGCAGTTCTGAAGATGCAGCTCTCTGCAACATTTGCTGAATCACACCTTCAGAAAGGCATTTGTTTGCAGACAGGTAATATGCAGCTGAAGATTTCATGTATTCCACATTCAATTCTAAGTAACAGAACCAAAGTGTAACATTTACCAGTTCTTCCAAAGACTCCAAGCACAAACTGCTCAGTACTTGCCCATCTTATGTTACTGAAAGAGAAAAGCTCTTAATTCCACGCCTCTTGGTTGGTGACTGAAATGCACTTCTGCAAAAATAACCATGTTTCAGTTGCTGATCCACTGACAGTGAGTCACTGTTACGCTACTTTCAGCACTGCATATAGATATGTGTATATATATATACCTATGTTGATGAGGATGTCTGTGTGCGTGCCTGTGATGCCTCTGAAAGGAAAAATAAAGGCTAGAATATTATGTGAGACTAATCTTACTGACATCGGTGTACTAGGGCTACAGATCTTGGTTTTGGGCCCAAAGGCTGCACATAGCCCAAGCCCTGTCTTCACGTGAACAAGTATAATCACAGCTGAAAGCTCTAACCATACCAGGGCTTTTTACTTCTATTTAGTTATTCTTTAATATCTTTAAGTTAAGCACAGACATTCCTCTTTCCTTTCAAGGCACTTTCATAGTAATAGAGAGAGATGAATTCCTTTCTTTGGAAACTTATTGTGATTTATGTTAATCTAAAACTCACAGCTTAAATGCAGTAGTTTTTCCCTACACCACTCACTACAATAATCCTAACAGCAGAACACCCTGCAGTAGTGCATTAGAGAGTAACATGAGTAAGCAACACAATCTTTTCCTAAGATACATGCCATGTTCTACTAGTGTTTATATTTACAACTGCTACTGCTTCATATGAGGGAGTAAAACTAAACCAGAAGTAACTTAACAGCAGACGTGCCTAACAGACACAGCTATTTTGATACCTTAAACATGACAGATGACTGAGATTTAACAAGTTTTCCTTTCACAGCTAGGCAAAGGAACTGGGTAACTGTCACCACTTGCTATTTGTAATTCCTTCTCTATACTAAGACACTATCAACTAGATAGCATAAGCCAAATTCAAGTCTGACAGACTGAAACAGAAAACTGTCACAGCTAGATGCTTTAAGACACTTTTGGTTTAATTAACTGTACCCAGCTACAATAAACCTCATTTTCATATGGTTTTGGGTTGGGTGGTTTGTGGGGTTGTTTTATTTTCTGGGTTTTGCTTGGTTTGCTTCCTTTGGAGTTTTTTAAATTAGAAAGTCTTAGAAACAGCCCTTTTTTTTCTTAAATGGGAGATTTTAAACAATCTCCTGATCAAATGCTGATTATACAGATATACTTGACAAGTTCTCTAAGGCAGTCCTCAAAGACCCTATTGGCCGTTCTG